TAAAATAGATTTCAATTCCCTTCAGGATTCATCTTTGCATTTGATAGGAATTGTGATAAAAGTTGTACTTTTTACGAGATTTGCAAACCTTCTGCTTTAATTTTGCAAACTCCTTTGTAATTCTTTCATTCCAGCAACCTTAATCTGCCACCCACAGTTGTACAATTATTCAACCTCTAATGGTGATTCACACAGAAAACGAGATTGTAAGATTAAGGTTTCCTTTCTCGTGCTAGCAAGAAGAATGAATTTTCTCTACAAATTTTGAAAACCCATCACCTATGACGCCCTACTCGATATAATGAGACGAGAGATCATCAATGAAGAACTGATTGAGCATAGGAATAAGGCAAGTAGAGGCCTCTCACTTCCGTAAAGACAGCGTGCTAGAGAGCCGACCTTCCACTTGATAGATTACCAAATGAACCAAGCCGGTAATGAGAATTCTGGGCAAGCACTTGCCACCACCACTCTAAACGTTGTTCCTACCTTAGCATATGAGGATATCAACCCAGTCACTGACACCCAGCAGATGAGAACTCCGCAAGGATCCTGCAAGGAAAGAGACCGAGGCCGATATTCGGGACCTAGAAATAGGTCAAATTCGAACCTCTCCAGATACTGCATTTACCACCGGTCCTGTGGCCACAACACAACAAATTTTGAGACTATGCTCACCGTACTTGACAAGAACCCCCCAGGGATAGAAATGAATCACCCTAGGCGAACAGGCCCCCATCTAGGTATGAGAATTGACTTGGACGTGAAGAGACCACTCCCCGTCAAAGGCATGTTTCCCCACGACGAAGGGAGCATGATGCAGAGAGGCCCAGGGAAGGGCACAGACACCGAAGAAATCGACAAACTCAGGATAAGGCCCCTATCCACGAGGTGAATACCATATTTGGAGGCCCATATGTGGGCGATGAAACATGGAATGCTAAAAGGAATTACGCCCGTGAAGAATCAAGTTCCACCGATTGTCTTCACCCAGGAGGATGCTAAAGGACTTCACTACCCCCACTGTGATACACTTGTGGTGAGAGTTGTCATAGCCTGGAATGGGCTCAAACGAATGTTAGTTGACAACGGTAGCTCTGTCAACATTATATTCGGGTCCACCTTCGACAAGATGATACTGGACCATGAGTTGACGCCCACCTCCACTCCCTTGTACGGATTTATCGGAGATAGCATCACTCCGAAAGGAAAGATCACCCTTGTAGTGGAGATGGGAGAGTCTCCCCAAACTATAATGAACTTCATGGAGTTCCTCGTTGTTGACAATGGATCGGGCTACCACGGAGTATTGGGTAGGCTAGCTCTAAAGAAATTGGGAGCTGTCACCTCTATCCATTACCTATGCATGAAATTC